AGCCCCACAAACCAACCAAGTATACCGTTTTATTTTGGATTAAAGATTATGCTTTTGTAATAAATTCATTTCACTCAACAAATGAACGGAACACATAAACCAACACCGTGTAAACCTATCGTTTGGTAACTGCAGTTCACCAGTATTAGTGACTGTGAAGGCAGTGGTCACTGACTTTGTATTGCTACTTAACTATAGATACTAACTCTAAAAAGTAATTGTCATAGTATTAAAGTTACTCACTTGGCAGGGACAAATGCTGCTATTACTACATAGATAGCAAGTATTGACACAGCTGTTATTACCCCAAAATTAGTTTTTATCACTAATTACAAATACATATGCCTTTTCGTGCTGACTTGACCATAGCGCAGTTCGTCTGTCTGTCCGTTCCTCTCACACGAAAGAATAATAATGCCATGGACATTTTTTTTTTTCACGAAGCTAGGTTTGAATCCGGGTGTTGAAAATAGCAATATCTTAACGTCTGAACTACACACCAGACTCACACTTTCAAACTGCGATTATACCTGGACCACATAAATTGGCTGTTTCACTGCGAAAAATAAACACAAAAAAGAGCACTGTCTATGAAAATTTCGCTGAATTTCGTGGAGTTGTAAGTAGCGTTCTTTCCAGGAAACAGTTTGAAATTCGATATTCAGGATTTAACACATCAGGAGAACTCATGTCTTGCAAAACTTTGATACCAAACAAGCGTTGTGGTGTTGGCCTGATGTGCAAGCCTGGGGGGCGTTCCAGACGCTGACGATCACTATAAACATAAAAAAGACGCCGATGCTACCCGAAAACATTTTTTTTTTTCAAGAGGATACATTCTAGGACAAAACACGATGATAACGCAACAGTCAAGGCGTATTCGGTTGGCTGCTCTGGTCCTTTGGCGTCGAACCACCAGATGCTGAGGCAGCTGGCAATCAGAGCGCGAGAGGCAGCGTATACCAACCGAATACGTGAGCGATTTCAGAGCAGCACGCCTGCAGAGTCACCGTGCCGCCAACGCGGGAAGCTGCCAGGTAAACAGTCCTGCTGTGCGCCGACGAATGGCGCCGATCAATTAGGTGGACGTCTCCGACATAGTTAGACGCAGCGACAGACTTTCTAGCTCAGCCAATCAATCTGGTGATTGTCATTGTGTGAACAGTTATCTTTCGAGAGAAATCACGTGGCTGTGTGAGAATTGCAGTAACGACAGCACTAGCGTTTCCTCCACCTTTGCTAGCCATGGAATTAACATGGTGGGAGACGATTTAGACTCCAACCAAAAGTTTGGAAGAAAGCAGACGTTTCGAAACCGACTTGGTCCCTTCCTCAGGGGTGACTGCGGAGGCTACGTAGCCTCCTAAGTCTAAATCATCTTCCAGTTTCATACCCAACCAGGCAGACTTCTGTCGAATGTTTACATTCTAATTAACATGTTGCATTTATGGATTCGCGCATGTGAACGCGCCCCACACACGCTCACAAACGCCATTAAGAATGCACGTGCAGGAAGTATTACGCGCCCGGCGATGTCCCGTTCTGAAGTGTGCGCTCGCGCTCTTCACCTTGTGCACCTGCTGGCAGCCACGTGATTTGCCAGCTTGTGTTATGTGAGCCGTACTCCCGGTCAGATCGCCCCACGCTCTCAGTTCGAAGTCAGAGTGGTTGGGAGCACTCTGAGTCGGAAGCTGACGCTTTGAAAGAACTAACGGAAGGTAGTACTAGTGCTCAATTTCTACTAACAGAACGCTCAGTCACTTTTCAGAGCGCTCCAGAGCGCTCGTAACCACCCAACCGAATAAGCCATTAGTCAACTGCCAAAGGAGATTGTGCATCATAAATTTTTGTATTACTTAGCTTCTTTTACAACCGTAAAAAAGTCACTGCTTTACTGCAAAAGCGAAGAAAGGAACGTGATATCAACAAATTGGAAGATAATGCTGAGAATGACCAGCATATCGAAACGTGTCTCGCGTTTCTCACGCACAAATGAAGCAATAAACGTACTCACAGGTATAGATGAACGTGAATAAGTGTTTCAGTTGTTACTTTCTGTGCCTGAAAAGTGCGTTCTTTTCGCAAAAGAAGGCTGTGCGACGATTGCAGCGACCTTTGTGCGCCCGGTGACTACAAGATAATTGTTCCAATGAAAGCCCAAGACCATCCAAGACGTACGATACTCCCCACCGCGACAAAAGGGCACGCGAATGAGTGTCCAGCCCCCCTCCTCGTCCTCTCCACGCTGGAAATTACGCGTGGCAGATGAGAGCGTGCGCCACTGCGTCATCTTTTTGGTAATGCTTTCTGGTAATAGTTCCCCCCGAGATGCTCGTCATTAGCCCTATCTAGCATATATAAATAGCTTGCCGTTTGAACGTTCGATGAGGTGCTCCTTCGTGGCTAAGTGGCTAACGCTTCTCCCTCACAATTAAAAGGTTCGATTCCACGCACCGGAGTCTTTTCCTGGACTATTTTTTTTCTTACGTTTTGATATATATCGATACGTATATATATAGAGTGAGTGATGGCGATGCTGGCGGCAAAATCCAGCTGAGAGTGTCCATATAATTGCGATCACAATAAAACAACGCTGACACTGTATCTACTTCCAACTTTCTTTGGCCTGTGCATCAAGGAATGCGCGTGAACAATATATATGACTCATGCTTTTAACACGGATGTGTTTAATTCGGGGGTTCACCGCGGCGCCACCGACGTATTTTTGTAAAGAATATGACGTCGTAAAGTATATATATACTAAGAGAGGGCAAAGAAATACAAAAATACAAAAATTCCGCTACAGTGAGTTGAACATATACGCCCCCTCGCTCTGCAGCGCGCAGCGCGAGCCACCTCGGCCATAAGGTATGCGTTGTTCAGCTTCCTAACGGTTATTTATTTACACTATTTAGCACTGTCGGCACTCATATATCGGTAACTTTAGTGTGTTTTCGTTATCACTGGCAAGCTGGCGCTACGGTTGCAGAGGCCTTTCTTAAAAGGTTGACACACCCTTTCGCGCTTGCCTCAACGGGGCCTAGTCACTCGTGCGCGTGCGCATGCGTTTCTTTCATGTTCGTAGTGGTTCATACTTTTCGAGATATCACCACAAGTGTGCGTTGAAACTGCAGAGAGCTACTTCGCTCGCTGCAGCAGCCATGCTTGTGAAAGGAGCGTGCTGCTCAATCACCAAGTAACACCTGGAACATTTGTTCGCGCTCATCCTGTGTATACCTGTGCGTTCGTTCCGTGCTTCCTTGTCTGAGCACAGCGCTTGAAGTGTTGAGCTGTGACAGTTAGCTCGCGCTCGTCCTGTGTATGCTCTTTCTGTGCATCCTCTCTGCTTGAAGACAGGGTGGACGTTTCGAGGGGTTTGCCGTTCTTCGCACGATATTACAGCTTGTCGCTTTAGCATTCACTGTTTTGACCTTGTGGCGTAACAATGTATTATATACACTAGACTACCTTTCTGAATACAGCTCTCACTTTTGTGTTATACCTGTTTCAATAAAAAAACGTGACCGATGTAACATTTTAGTTCTGCTCTCTCCGACCGTGTTAAGACTTGAAGAAAAATTGAACTTTTTAGAATTCGGCTACAGTCGCTATAGCAAGGTGAGAATAACTGCGCAGAATAGACGCGTAACTTCACTGCGCATTAACGTGGCCGCTCATTATGTGCACTCACTATCTGAGAGCGAGGTCTTAAGCATAGGCCGACCAAACTTGTAGGGCTCACACACATTCACTCATGAAATATATTTTGAGCTTTGGACTCGCTCGAACTCTCACTCACAAAAATATTCCTGAGCCGGACTCGCTCGAACTCGCACTCACCAAAACATCACTCAACCGGACTCACTCAAACTCACGCAGGCTCGCGGCTCGGTATCAGTTGGAGTTATTGATTCAACTCATGAGTCCGTTAGTGTCTAATTTCTTTACAATAGTGTCAATGCTCTCTAACACCAATATATCACCTAATCGCTGATATTGGCTCATTTTCCATAGCATATTTCCATGTTCTGCCAAATACAAATAGAACAAGCATCTTCGACAACGCGTTCCAAGTGCTTGAAAATCGTTAAGGTCATTTTTCTTGGGAGAGAAGACAGCATAAGATATATTTATCACGAACTGCCATAAAAGACTTGCTGGGGTTGGATGTCAAGCTCTGAATAATAAATATTAAAATGGTGTATGAACTACACTGATTTGGAATATATGTGTGTAGATATGAGTATAAACGTGAATCCAGCAAGGCTAATAGTAACGCTGAAGATGACTACATCAGACTGTAGGTCGACAAAAGCAAGTGTAACTCACTCACACTCACTCAAAAATATATTTTGCGCTTTGGACTCAATCGGACTCAGACTAACCAATATTTTCCTGAGCTAAACTCACTCGAACTAGCACTTACAAAAATTTTCTTCAGCTGGACTCACTCGGACTCAGCCTCAAGAAAATATCAATCACCCGGACTCACTCATACTCAGACTCACGGCTTAATGTGAGTCGGAGTGAGTCCAAATGAGTCGAATTATGAGTGAGTTTGCCGACTTATGGTCTTAAGGCAGCACATGGCGATTCCGCTTTTTAAAAGCCTCAGAGGCTGCATCATTGTACTTTGAAGCAATTGCCTTGAAGTGGCGAAATACAACTTCTACAGATTTGCTCGAACGTTACTACAGCGCCTTGTGTAATTGATGGCACTGCTTTCTTTACTCTTCAAAACAGCTAATAAAAATGGTTAGTAAAAAACTAAGAAGCATGACAACGTTTTAAAACGCTGGTTTCGTATGCTATGAGGTCTTATCCTTCTCTTTGATTATATGCACCCTCAAGGAAGAGAGGCTTAAGCTAAAATATTACGGACACTAAGGCCCGGTTGTCCCATTTACCAATGGCGCTTTGAAGCATTAGTTTTATTGCTACTGTCATCCACTGATCATGGTAAATGTCGCTGAGTATTGTAGATACTGTGATACACTTACTTGGTGCGCTTGCAATCCTCGTAGTGGACACAAAGTCACTGCAAACGTTCTTCGAAGGGCACCACTGAACCGAGAGCGTGTAATTCTCCGTCGGGTCTAGATCTTGAATGATGGCCGAGAGGACGTAGCCAACATTCAGAAAGCGTTGTGAGTTCCCGTTATCCCGCACACGTACACGGTACTGGCCTCCAACTACGTACGGTGCCAGCGGCCCCCACGACAGCAGCACCGACGTGCTCGATAACGGAATGGCCTGGATGCTTGTGGGACCTGAAACAAAGCAGAAGTGACCATTTTGAACATTCAACATAGCCCTAAAATGAGTGCAGAAATTTTCTTCTTCACTGTAAGCTAAGCTTCAGTATATGGTAATGGACAGACAGACAGACAGACAGACAGACAGACAGACAGACAGACAGGCAGGCAGGCAGGCAGGCAGGCAGGCAGGCAGGCAGGCAGGCAGGCAGGCAGGCAGGCAGGCAGACAGACAGACAGACAGACAGACAGACAGATAGATAGATAGATAGATAGATAGATAGATAGATAGATAGATAGATAGATAGATAGATAGATAGATAGATAGATAGATAGATAGATAGATAGATAGATAGATAGATAGATAGATAGATAGATAGATAGATAGATAGATAGATAGATAGACAGGACAGACAGACAGACAGACAGACAGACAGACAGACAGATAGACAGATAGATAGATAGATAGATAGATAGATAGATAGATAGATAGATAGATAGATAGATAGATAGATAGATAGATAGATAGATAGATAGATAGATAGATAGATAGATAGATAGATAGATAGATTTGTACTCTTTTAGCAGGAGTGGTCGCAAGCTTACGTCAACCTTCCCGCAGCGCTTATAATTTGTTTCCGAAGATGTGATGCTCGTGTTAACTAATTATAACAACATGGTAGTTTGCATTTAAATGCCCCAAAAAGCTCCCCTTTTTTGTGCCAAATAGTACATCGGGCAGACGGGGTGCTGCGTAAATGAACGAGCCAGAGAGCATGAATTAAATCTGACGAGAGATGGCTTGGCGCATTTGCCAGTGCGTTTTACAAGTGTTAGCTACGGTTTGAAAGCAATGGAAATTTTAGGCAGACGCAAGTCTCTGAAAGGACGTGAGTTGATAGAAGCGTACCATACAAGAATGAATGGAACAAGTTTGATTGGTGATACAACTGTTGCATTGCACGTATAGGTAAAGAGATTGATTAGAGGATAGATTAGGTTGTGTTGAGACTGCGCATGTACGTCGTCTATTTTAAACTTAAAGAAAACACCGCAATGCCAGAAAGAAGACTGGCGCCACAAGTACAAGTGTTCTTTCTCGTATCACCTTCCTTCATCCTGTCTTAGCGCTCATTTTTTCAAGCTCTCAAGTTATGTGCCAACTTTCCCCGCTTGTCCAGTTTACCTATTTATTTCTGGGTTAAAACTCACAAATATTCAGTCGGAAGTATCCTCGTCCTAACATCATGTTCCTGCCTTTTGTTTGGGTTCTGATTCGTGGCGAAATCATATCTTTCAGTCATTAAGCTGCCATCCTTATTTTTACGAATGTACAGCAGCCATCGAAGGCCGCTTTTGTTTGATCATACCAGGTGAACGGCACTCACGAGTCACGGCTTTCGAAATGTGGCTTTTAGGTACTCCCCCATGGCACCAAATTAGGTGTCATGGAGGAGTAGAAGCGCCATACCTAAGGCTATTTACATTACGACTACTGCTTTTCCTCGTTTGTAATATTGGTTTTCGTCTCTCTTCAGATATTGTGTTTCCAGTTATCACCTGAAGTTGCTGGAGTACATCATGCCGAATTCGAGGGTGCAGTAGTGCGAAATAGGAAAGGCGATGCGCGATGCCTGCCGGGCCGTATACCAGCAGCGTAGACTGGGGAAGCAATGGCGCAAACTTTCTCAAGTTTTGCAAGTACCAAGTATAGTCCTTGGGTCTATGGCACGTATTTTAATGCGTAGCATTGATTGGCGCACGAGAATTTTGTTCATTGCTCAATTCATCATGAACGAATAACATAAAAAAGTGGATCTATCTGACGCACAATGAAATACCAAGTTGACCTGCGGCGGAGGTAAAGAGGCTTTTATGGTGGTATAACGTTGAAGATAGCATGACCAACACTGAGGAAAGGTCGCAGCGTAAGTCCATTATGTGCAGGATTGACAGCGGGTGGCAGACGTGGCACATACAATGCGTAATTGTGCGTCATGCATTGGCATCCGTAAACCAGTGCGTGCTATATTGGGGTAAAAAACATACTGGAGAGAGAGTGAATGAGAAGAAAACCTTTTATTTACGCTATATATATGGAAGCATCAGTCTCCCCATAACACGTGTAGAGAAAAGTCGTGCCTCATTAAACGGAAGTAGCCGAGAGTAGATATAATGCCACGCGTACACTGAATAATGTTCATTCAATGGATGTTCCTTTTTTGTTTTGTCTGGATGTACCTTTCCAGTAACACTGCACCAATAATTGGAACTGCTAGCAGCTGCGCCACTCATCTGCATCATTAAACACGCCTACTGTTTTCTTATACCCGGTCTGGCTGTTGCACAACGCGGCCCCTGCAAATGGGCCATATAACCTGATGCTAGTCCAGTAGACATGACGCGAAGAAACTTCAATAGGCTTGTTTGTACTTGATTTTAAGACATACATAATAAATACAGTTCGTGCAGGCATTATGGTGAATAGAAGGAATATGAATTCACCTAACAATTAATAGAGCATATCTACTAACGTTTTGTGAAGAAGAATTTCACGTACGAATGAGCTCATTGCACGCACTGTGACAAACCGCACTCACACCAACGCATTGAACAAACACGCTTAGGTATGTTGATGGCTAATCGAACGAATATCATTGCAAGTTATTCTTTGCATATCTGAATTCATTAACGTATGTCATGTTACACCACATAAAGAAGCATGTTTGATCGCTCGATTCACAGACGTGTCGTACTGCGTGCATATCAAAAGCACTGCTGGTTGATGACGAAGAAATTGACGCCAAATAAATCGCACGTGAAATGCAGAGACGAAGAACTTTCACGTTTTAAGAAAGTAATGCAAGTTGCACTTTTTTTTTCAGCCAAGGACAAGCTTGAAGAATTTGCGTGAGGACTGAAGCTCTCGGAAGTGCAGTTGCCAACAAAGAGCAGTTGCGAAAAATTGCTGTCTTCAAGAAACACAGAACTAGACGAGCCGATTTTGCCTATTTCTCCCTCTGCCCCGTTCATCTATTCCTTGCACGCAAACAAATCAAAGTTCGGTGCTCTAAAACACGGCCTTCAGTTCGTATATTATCTGTCAAGGGTGTAGTAGTGAAATCTATTTATTTCTCTGGCACAAAGTTTGTTTCGCTCTGTACCCCAAGGCAATCTGAATATTTACATTTTCATGCAGTGTACAGTAAGGAACTCCGGCAATACGTGGTGCTTTTTATCGTAGATAAATGAAACAGTTTTTCGTGTTCATTTAGAATTTAAAAGTACGTATAAGCCCCACACACCACATGCGAAGGATAAGCGGAACTTGTCTATTTCATTTGACTTGTTATTCTCTCTGACCAGATTCTGCTAATACGCTACTTTTTCTAAATTCGGCGCAAGATATTTCGGTATGACGTAACACAGCGCCGGCATTTTCAACACACCCGGCCCACTCTGGTGAATTCAGGTTCGACAGCGCCTGCATCAGGGTCTTCACTTGCTCTTACTGATATGTCAAGTGACGTGTGTGTGTGTGTACGTGTGTGTGAGTGTGTGTGTGTGTGTGTGTGTGTGTAGTCAATAATTAAAAATAACAGAAACAGCATGTTATTGATTATTTGCTTCAATATAACTATTTAGGTACTGCGAAGTGTTTGTTCGTTGGCATATATATGGCGCAAAGACGGGTGATTGAATTCCAAAGCATTAATAGAAATATCTGTACTCTGCAAAAAAAAAGAAACCCTGTTTATAGGCGCCACAGAAAAGTGTACCCTTGGCTTGTTGCGTCCATGCCCTGATTTTGTTTGCAATGGCGCATCATAGTAATAAGTAGCGTGACCGTGCCAAAGTTGCATCCTCTGGCCTGTGAAATAGTAGACCACAAGAGGAATCAATACGTAAGCACATCTCGTTTATACAAACAATGTTCGTACACACGGAGTCACCTCCGTTCGGCCGGCTGGCACTGAATACCGCCCCGACTGGCACCAGGCCAGCAATGCAACGCGCCAAAGCCACATGTCGGTAACTTCGCGATATCTCGATTGCATCTCTAAGTTGAACTAGAAAACACCTCCGAGCATTCTAGACTTTCTGAGTTGGTTCACAAACACAGAAAGCGAGAGCGATTTAAAGAAAGGCAGGGAGGTTAACTAGATGACGTACCTGCTTGAAACCACGCAATAAATGAAGCAGCCAAGTGGGTTCAGGGGCACGTTTCAGGAGGTTCGATTTAGACAAGTCTAATATAAATTGTGCCGCCAGAAAGCTCTTGGGAGCTCGAGAACAATAAGCGGAATGAATCATAATTAGAAATCACTTTTAAAATGTGTTGGATGTCAGGCCATCACACACCTATATTGCTCCAAAAAGTTAACCACTGTATTTGAATATTGCGTTGTTCTACTTTAGCAGTCAAGTCGTGTCTTGAAAATAAGAATGCTAAGTAAAGCGAAACACACTCCTCCTCTTCAAAGAATTCTAACTCACCACGATACTGAGGGTATTACAAGAAGACAAGCTTGTCAATGGAAATTCTGTGTGATTCCTTATGTCGCTGTTTTGAAAGGTACAGGTGGTGGATAAAATATTTTCGTGAAATAGTGCTTCTGAACAATTCTATTCAGCTAAACGGTACACATTCTCTGCCGATTCCCCTCAGTATGCCATTGACTAGACTTTCACGAGGCTTATCACAGTAATCTGTGAAATGATCGAAGATGATACTAATCACCAATAGCTCGAGTCATCATCTCCCCTTAGGAATCGCAACGTTTTTTTTTTAAGCACAAGGGTGAGCCAGTCCCGTCGACAAAAAACTCGGTGGGTATGCGACAATGAAACGAGGCCAAGCAGCTGATAGCATAAAATTAGCCTTGTATTGTATACTCTGGTGGGGAAGAACATAGATTTGAGGGTGAAGAGGAAGAAAAAAAGGAGGAGAGAGGGTAAGGCATGACATCATCTTGTAGAGCATTGCATAGTAAAGGATTCGAGAGATTGGCGAGGATGAGGAAGAGGGACGTGGGGGTTACGAGGAGAAAAAGAGAGTGGGCACATAAATAGAGGAAGAAATAAAAGAGGAGAGAAAAAGTATGTGTACAGAAAGGTAAAGGAAGAAAATGAAAGAAAAAAGAAAGATTGAAAAATTAAAGATACATGTAGAAATAACTCAATCTACTTTCTACAGGTGGTGGCGCTTGCTTGCCAGCCCCGCTGTTCGGTGCGAAACACTTCAGGGGCTAGGCTTTTTGACATCTTCTTTCGTTATTGCACTCGCTCGCTGGATTTCATGCCGACCGGTTGTGCCCCTGCGATCTCCAACGACAGCGCAGCTCCGGCCGACTGGCTCGCCCTACGCCATCTCCTGACGCCGACAAGAGCTCTCGCTGAGTGGTGCCCCGTCCTCGGACTCTTGCGACCGTGTCCATCTTTCCTATCTTCTCCTTACTTCCGTATGTGGCTGGCCCTGCCCATCTCTTCACTTCTATACCTTTAATTCCCCCTTATCCTTTTAATTCCTCCTTACCCTCATCCCTCGTGAGCTACTGTTGAGGTGACTTCCCTCTTTGAGACAGTTATAGGGCTCACTTTAATCTTCTTTTCATTTAAGAATTACCTCCCCCCTTTCGTTATGGTGTGCCACGTAGTCATGGTGCATCATAAAAAACAGGTATACAAAAAAGGGTATATTGCACTACTTGGCCCCGGTAAGAAGAAGAAGGAGTGGAAAAAGCACCTTAGCGTAGGCCGCTTCCTGACGCAGTATGCTGTCGACGTTAGTGGCACGGTAATTTCCTTGTGACTGTTCTGAAGAGATATGGTGTCATGACACTAAACTAAAGCAATCATTACTTTATGAAGTCGATTCGCGAAGTAAATTCCCAATAGCGGCAAGTGTCTCACGACACAAAGTTGTTATTTCGGAGACTTCGACTGGAAGTAGCAGACACAAACTGCTTCATGCATAGAATAAACCTATCCAACGCACCGGAATCTGACTTTGGTGACGAAGATGAGAATTCTTGGCATATTTTTTGAAGTGCGTAAAGTACGCAAACGAAAGAGAAAAATTAAAGAAGAAATAAGCAAGTTTTGAAAGGTGCCCCCTAACATTACTGACGTTACTTTGAGCATTGTCTGAAAAGCATCTTCAGAGAGGGTGAACATCTTCCTGAAAAACTCAGTGGACACCGGACTGGATAAGCTAGTATATACGTAATTATGTGTTAGCTCATATACCCCAGGCCGAACTAGAATGGTTCGCGCACGCAGCACTTTATTGCAACGTGAACTCCTGCAAACTGTACAATACACTTTGGTGTTAACTTGTTTCAATGTTCTATATGGCTCTCTTTACAGCTCATTCTTTCAATTAGATAACCTTTTAAATGCGAAACATTTCTCAAAGAACTTCAGCCAGTTGAACCATATCTATCTATCTATCTATCTATCTATCTATCTATCTATCTATCTATCTATCTATCTATCTATCTATCTATCTATCCGCCTTCGAATTTGAGTTCTTTAGCGTTTGGATAATGGGATCTATACGACAATTGGTATGGCATAACATGACTATATAACGAACATAAATGACCACTCATAACATTGAAAGGTTGACATGTCATGATTGTCATGGTTTACATGTTATGGTTTTGCTGCTCCTGTGGTGGTTTTGTTCGAATGACATATCGCAAAAGTGGTATGGTATGACGTGACTGCATGGCGAACATAAGTGACAGGCCCTCCTGTAGAAATCATGATATTCATGCCATAAAAGTCATAACTACAAGCCCGCTCATGGTGCCCTCACGGTCGTTTCACTAGCTTCACATACACCAAGTTTGGTATTGCGTGACGTGAATGGATGATGAAGGTATATGACTGGAGCAAACGTGATAATCATGCCATGCGTGTCACGTAAAAACATGATTACATGCCAAACTCATAATGTACTTGCGGTTGTTTCGCCAGCTTCTTATATATTAAATTCGGTATTACGTCAGATGAATGAATAATGAATGTATATGCTGGTGCGAACATTACAATCATGAAAAGCAAGTCATGTAAGAACATTACTACTTGCCACGCTCATGATGCGCTCGCGGTCGTTTCGCTGGCTTCACGTACACAAAATTTTGTATTACGTGACGTGAATGAATGACGATGGTATGTGAGTGTTGCAAACATAATAATCACGACATGCGTGTCATGTAAGAACATGACTACATGCCATGTTCATGATGCGCTCGCGGTCATTCCGCTAGCTTCATATACCGAATTTCGTATTACGTGACATGAATAAATGACGAAGGTTTAGGACTCATGACATGCGTGTCATGTGAGAACCTGGCTACATGCCACGCCCATGAGGCGCTCGCAGCCACATTGCTAGCTTCACATATACCGAATTTGGCGTTACTTGACATGTGTGGATAACGATGGTCTATGACTGGTGGAAACTTTATAATTATGACAATCGTGTCACGCAAAACATGAATACATGCTGCACTCGTAGCGCGCTCGCGGCTGTTTTACTACCTTAACATATACCAAAGTTAGTATATTGTGATGTGAATGGGCACCTGAGCAAAAATGTCTGGTGCAAACATAAAAGTTATGACATGAAAGTCATGTATGACATAATTTACGTCTGCTTCTTAACGTTATGTCGATTTTATTGCACAATTCAACCTTCTTAATTCTTACTCCACATCTCATCAATTCCCACTGAAAGTGGTATATACCAATTTTTTCTTGTCTGCAAAACTTATAGAAAACTTTGACCTCTTAAGATCTATACAGCTATTACAGAACAGAACAAAAGCCATCTCTGCGTGTCTGGTTTGAAGCTTAGCCTTACTAGTGCCCTATCAGAGAAACCTCTCCCGTGACACTGCATGTTTCGCACCTTTCCAGTTCCTATTATGATTTCGTGGACGTGCAGCGGCTTTAACTATTATTTAGTATTTAGCCAAGGTGTCGAATGTAATACTTAGTAACGAGCATTAAATGAAGTGTAACGTACGTCAGCCTCCAGGCTTGTCCATAGGACCATTCATAACTGCATTGATCCAAAATGATTAGGAAAGTAAAGTGACATGGCTTATGGAAATTCTACTTACCATTAAGAACGGTTCGAGGAGTACTTGCGGTTGCGGGAGTCGTGGGACTCACTGAAAGTGAGAGCAGAAACGATTGCTGAGCTAGTTTACACCCTTTATTCGTAAGCATAGAACTGTGCTGCAGTTTTCTGCTCTATAGTGCGGCGTTGCTGCCACAACTAAATGCGTAGATTAAGTTAACTGTAGTGAAGAGGACTGCCCACTATGGTTTTCCTTCCTTCAAAACAAAGTTATTTACAGTCATTTTATAGGAATATGATACTTTACCGGCCATCACGAGCAGTAAATACTTTGAGACCTCCTAGGGCACTGTGGGGCCTAATTTAAAAGACACTATTTTCTAAAATGTGTGCTATGTAGACGTTTGAAAGCGGCCATTCGGTCGAGTTGTAAACTGGGTGCTATATTTAAACAAGGCATTTGAATGGAAGGGATACTTGCTTTTCATATACCTCAATGTGACTAAAATCAATAACTATAATCTACAGATGTGACGTAGTACCTAGCTGAGTTACTGCTCATTCAAACACCGATGAAGACAAGATACAATAAATTAAACATTAAAGCACATGTATAATCTACATACACCGACTCGGATAACCTAAGCTATAAAGGCCAAGCAAATTCTGCTCTTAGAAAGGAGACAAGCTCTAACGTGCACTCCAGGGATAAACTGCGGAGAGGAGAGCCACAATAATTAGTACAAGTCATTACTTAGTGTAAACTACCCTGATGATGTGCTCATTCATCAGGCGTGCGCAATCACTCTCCACATCATTACGAGGTGCACTTAGCAAACTCACTTGGACCTCGCAGTGAATCAGAAGTCTGGGCTGGAAATTGCGATTGACGCCCCGTTTCTAAAGTTAAAAGTAAGATCCGTGGCCATACACAACCTCCTTCGCAGTTACTCTTCCCCTCGCACGCAAGCAGGTGACAACTCCGGCTGCACTTAGCCTTCTAAAGGTCCTTAAAGATAGACCGATAATAGCACACTTGGGCAGTGCACGTGAACAAAATCGCTTCTGGCTGGCAGCAACCTCGTAATGATCGTAGAGCTCTTAATGAAGCACCTGGTCCGGAGTCATCAACGATGTCGTAACACCCCGCCTCCAGAGCCACTATACTTCCTCGCGACCCTTTTTAGCGGACTGGTTAAGCAAGGTGCCAGTTGAAAATGATAACGAACGTTTGACCTCCAGTCTGTTCGATTAATCAAGCAAACTATGACAACACCCCATGGGTGGTTTGTATGCTTGATTGTTGTTTCTGGGACGTGTCTCAGTAAAAAATCTCACAGTGCACTATATACACCTGCTCATAAATGTTTCTATGCCGTGACCCTGCGAATCGCGGACAGTCAATGTGTCTTTTAAAGAGCATTGGGAACACGGAATGGGTTGCGGTTACTACGGTGGTCAGCATGCTGTTCTGCTGAGTTACTGTGTGCATGAGAAAAGAAGACTTGACAATCGAGTTGCAACAACACATCTATCGATTTTTTTCTTAGGTTGTCTTGTCTCTCCGTACACACTGGTACGCAGAGAGTTTAATCAGTGTTGCCGAGTATTGTGAAAGTTTTCATAATCCAATGTTTATTGAACAAAATCTTGAAAAAGAATATGCAAGTTCGAGCAAAATGGAGAAGAGAAACCCTTCTTTTTGAATAAATAGATACAGTTACCTTTGTAATGTTCTTACCTAAATTGTGCTGCGTGAGTTGAACTGCTTGATTCTCTTCCTAACTTTTACACATAGGTGGCCAAATTTATTTCAGAGCCTCTTTACGCTTCTTTGATAGCAGCCGTGCGACGCTGACACTCCCTCATTTGCCAAAGCTAAACACACACTAAAATTATTTCTCTTGAAATATTACTGAGTAAGCTTCTTACATGAAATATAGATAGGCACTCTGCTCAAATCTTTACTGGTAGATATACGTACGTTTTTGAAGACTTACGGAAACGAAAAGCCATCAATTGGGTAAAGAAAAAAAATTTTACTGTGGCAGCTCTGTATGTTTACTTCCATCTTTTGTTACAGTCGCGAATGCACAGCCCTCTTCATTCACCGGGCCCCATCAAAATCATGGCACTTTGACATGATGAAATGAGGTAAGTGCATCATACTGCTGTTTAGGGATGCATTAACGTAACCGCGTGTAAGATTTCTGTTTCGTGGCAATCAGACAAAACCGTTATTTGATATCGTTGGAAGGAGAACATCCGTCTCATGCTTAGTCATGCTTGTATGAAAAACGCCAAGCAACTGGTATAGAGACTCGCTCAAATAGCTTGAAACAGTAAAAAATGAAGCATTATACATGTTGCTTTTGTCCCAAGATGACGCACAACACATTTTCCCTGGGCTCGAAACAATACATAACAAACTTGCGGTGTGGAGCAGGTGACGTTCCAATATTTTTGAAGTCACTGCATAATAAAAAAAATCCACGAATCTTCACGAAGTAAATGATAACGGGTGAGTGAAGTTAGATTCTAAGGTGCATAATGTCTACGTTTAAGTCACCGACTAGTAAAAAAGATGTGCACAAGTAGGTGCTTCACATTGTTCTGGCACAATTATGTTGTTGTTCGTCCACTGTAAACTTTTTCTTTATTCGTATACACACATATGTGTCGCCTATAGCAACAGTTTTCTAACCATCATGATAGCGGACATTAACCGTCGACGACAAAGCTAGGTCCCCAAGTCCATAATCTGTACGTCTAATTCGCCGACTGGTATAAAGGATTTGTACTGCTGGGTGTTCTATATTGTTACACGACGTCGGCAACGAAAGAGCATCATAGACGACGAAGACGATGAAAGCGACCGGGCTCGTGTTGTTGCTGCTGTTCTTCCATCTTGGCTGCATCTGCCTCTGACTCTCCCTGTATATTTTGTAAATATATTTATTGCATTCATTCTCTCACCCGCTTAACATTTGGTGGTGGTGCGGGGTAAAACACGACATAACGGAGCTCTGCAGTGGCCGACGTTTAGATTTTTCCACTATGGCAAACCAGGGACCGGCTCCCGCAGAGGCGACTACAACAACAACTGTTGTCCTTCCGCAGCTAAAAGATCCTGGCACGTTTTGTGGCACGGATGATGTCGACATCGAAGAATGGCTGCCGTTGTACGAACGTACAAGTAAGAATTACCGCTGGGATGAAACTCTTATGTTAGCCAATATCCTGTTCTACTTGAAAGGAACAGCAAAGGTGTGGTTCGAGAACCACGAAGATGAAATTGGAAGCTGGGATGCGTGCAAAGAAAAGATGCTCGCCCTTTTTGGCAAGTCTGTGGGCAGAAAGGCAGCGGCCAAAAAGGAATTGGCATCTCGTGCACAAACGTCATCAGAGTCCTGCGTGACTTACATACAGGACGTGCTTGCCGTTTGCGGAAAAGCAGACAACGGTATGGAAGAAACGGAAAAAGTAGCTCACATATTGAAAGGCATTGCAGATGATGCATTCAACCTTCTCATATGCAAGGACTGCAACACGGTAGATGCCATCATCAAGAAGTGCCAGCGTTTTGAGGCCGCAAAAAGTCGACGTATCGCCCATAATTTCTCTCGACTACCAAACACGGCAGCAACCTGGTCGTGCGAACACAGGCCTGCACTACAGACGCCGTTAACTGCAGAGCACGTGACCAAGATCATCAGACGTGAACTTGAAGCTCTGTCTCCTGCGCCCACGTGCTCCCATACCTGTGACTCTAGCCCTCAGATGGTGCCACTGGTACATGCCATTGTGCGACAAGAGCTTTCCAATGCTGGACTGGCCTCCGAGTGCACTACAGCTCTCTCTCAGTCGATCAACCGTCGTCGATCCCCTGTTTCGTATGCCCAAAGCCAAAACCTTTCGGCGTGCCCTCGCGATCCAGCCGAGTGGAGGACTGCTGACGATCGCCCGATTTGTTTCAACTGCCACCGTATCAGACACGTGGTCCGTCATTGTAACACTCGGTGGTATTGCCATCAGGCATCCTATGGGTACACCCATCGGCCAGAGAGGGATCATGGACGCTTTCAAACTTCAAACGCAGTCACCTCAGGCCACCAGTGAAGACGTTCCTTCTATGCCGCCATATCGTCATCGCTCTCCATCTCCGCATGCTCACCAGTCCCGTTCACCGCTCTCCCGTCGCATGTCGTCTCGCTCACCCCAATTTCGCCGACCAACGTCGCCGACTGACCACCTGCCGCGGGAAAACTAGATGATGCAGCTCCCGGAGGTGATGCTGCATCGACCACTTGCCCGCCAAATCATCTGACCATGCTGCCGACTCGACGCAACCTTATTGACGTTGAAGTAGATGACACACCCGTTGTCGCACTTGTGGACACAGGGGCTCACATATCAGGGATGAATTCAGAACTTCGTTGCCGCCTTAAAAAAGTTTTAACGCTACCCACAGTGCCACTCATCCAGGTCGCCGACGGCGGCACGTTTCCCGTGCTTGGAATGTGCTGCGTGCGTATAAGTGTGGCTGATCGCTCCATGATAGTGCTATTTGCTGTGCTCGAGAAATGTTCCCATGAACTTATCCTCGGCATGGACTTTTTATCCGCCCACTCTGCCCTTAATTATTGTGGAACCAGCATGCTTCAACTTGATTTACCGTGTTACCATGAAGACCCTACACCAGCTCAGCTCCGTCTGTGTTCTGCAGATCACGTTCGCCTAGCACCTCAAGCCGTTACTTACGTGAACCTGAGATCTGTCCCTCCTGTTCGCGATGGTGACTTCATGTTGACACCTAATGCTGACGTTCTGCTGGCCAAAAATGTTGCCGTGCCTCACACACTTTTGACAGTCACGGGAAATACAGCATCTCTTCCGATCCTAAACTTCAGCTGGTGCGCTCAAGTTATCCCAGACGGTGCGACTTTGGCGAAAGATTCTTCTATAGATGCTGCCATTTCGGCGTTCATTGCCGATTCTTCTTCGTCCTCTGTTCCGTTCTCATCCTCGAAGAGCACAGCGGATGCCACCATCGACAAGATGATCGCTCCGGACCTTCTTTCAGCACAGACA